AAAAAAAAAGAATCAGGCTTTATGTGCCCAGAACAAAAGCCCCCCTTTTCTTTCTCAGCCCTGCCCCTGGTTACTGATGTATTTGATTTCTGTATATTTACATTTCATATAAACGAACTCATAGGCAATTTTTGTGACTGGTTCATGTCATTTGGAGTGATGTGTACATGTTTGTGACTTGTTTCAGGACATCATTCACTCCTGAAGGTCAGGGAATCCTGTTTTTAGACTGCCACTGTTTTCAGGACACCCTGCCCAGGGTCCAGTGATATTCAGAAATGAGGGGCTGGCACGTTTGCTCTGACAAAGTAATATTCTAAGGCAGGATCATGAAGTGGCAGCCCGTGAGCCAAATCCAAGCTCCAGTCTGGTTTTGTGCATGAAGTTTTATTGGTGCACGTAGTCACACACTTGTGCTTGCTTATTGTCTGTTTTCTGCTGTGACGGCAGAGTTGAGTAGCTACACAACAGAGACCGTGTGGTCCCCCAAAGCCTGAGATAGGCACTCTCTGGCCTTTGCAGAGAAAGCTTACCGATGGCCCTTCTCTGGGAACACGACAGTTGCGTGACTGCGATGTGGACAAAAGCTTAGACCTGTCCTATACTGTACACGAGGCAAACGGAGCCCTACCACAGAGTGCAGTGACCAGTCGGTGAGGTGGGCGCGTTGGCCAGGCTCACACATGCACGGTGGCACAGCTGATGGCTTACAAGACGCCAGTCATGCCTGCGACACAGATGGTTCTCACAGCGCACCCACAGACAAGCAGACAGCGTCAGTCATCCTGACACCACACATCCCACTATCAGGGCTGCCATGTGTATAGACTTGGGTTTCTGTGCTCCGTCTCAGTGGCCTCTCTATGAACTCGAGCTGCTCCTCTGCCCTATCAAACCATGCGCTCAAGAAACGACAGGCAGTACACATGTGAGAGTCATGGCCTCGAATATTCCGTGGCTCATCTCACTTGTCCTCCATAAGTACAGTGGTGGAGGAAGTGCAGCCGGGGTCCTCCTCAGAGGCCAGGATAGTGCTTCATCCCACATCCTTTGGGAATGTTGTCAGGAGGGCCCAGAACGGAGGCTCCAGTAAATAAGCAGATACACCCACAGGGCAGAGTCTCTGGATGTCACGTCTTAAAGAATGCTGTGGAGAAAGGTCTGCAAGAATATAAATGGAAACACGGACAGTGTAGTGGTTTGTACATTCGCAGTGCAGTCAAGCCGCATAGCAAACCCTGAGAGAAGAATTACACTGGATCCCAACAACAAAAAAATAAGTAATAATACAGCTGTTATGTTGTTGTTAGATGCTGTTGAGTCACCTGTGACTCAGAGACCCTGTGAAGCAGAGATCGGGACCATGCGCTCTCCTGCACCTCCAGAGAAGAAGTGCCTTTGAATTACGGTGTTGGTGAGGAATAGCAAATAGCTCGTGGACTGCCCAAAGAACACTCCTATCTGTCTTGGAGAAAAATGCAACGCAGAAGCTTCCTAGGTGCTCCTTCTAGGCGGGGACGGTGAATCTTCATCTTCCATATTTTGAGCACCTTTTCAGGAGCAGCCAGTCCTTGGAAGAGGACATCATGCTGGGAAAGGTGGGGGGTCAGAGAAAGAGAGGAAGACCCTCAACAGGACAGATTGACATAGTGATCCTAACAGTGGGCATGACGGCAAGCCGGAGGATGAGTCAAACAGCGCAGCCCCAAAGACTTCCTGATTCCCTGCTTCTGTCTCATCTACAGCTGTCCAGCGTGTCATCAGGCTCATGTTTGTTTTTTCCTCTTGCTAAGAGCTCTCATGGCCTAGTGGCAAGAAGCTATGCTGCAATCCCATAGGTACGCAGTTCAAGGCCACCAGTTGCTCCATGGGAGAAGGGGGAGCATTCTCCTCCTGGGTGATTAACTGCCTCTGAAAACCTGCTGGAAGGTCAGCTATGGGTCTGTTCCAACTCTACGGTACATAACAGTAAGAAGCAGCAGGTGAACAAGCGGCACAGGTGGGTTCAGTCTTGGCACCCCATGCCAGAGCCCATTGACCCACGTAACTGTTGAGTTGACTCCGGTGGCTTCAGGAGAGTGGGCAGACTGCATATTTATCTGGCATCCCTCGTCTTTGGAGGGGCAGGGCCACAGTCACAGCGGTCGCCCCCCCTTCACCCCACCAGAGTCTAAACCTTTTCAGCAAGGAGTAAGGAGGTCTCCTGGTCTGAGCACAGCAGAATGAGGACCTTAGAGGAAGCACAGCCAGAATGTTCCTTGGAAATGAAAGTTGTGAGACTTTGTCTCTCTCACTTTGGACACATCACCAGTTGCTAGAAGAGGACATCATGGCTGGTAAAGTAGTGGGGCCGTGAGAAGAGGAAACTTCCCCACAAGGTGATAGCACAGTAGGCCCGACGATGACCTCAGTGTGGCAGAGATCATGAGGATGACGCCGGACCAGGCAGCTTTGCCTTCTGTCACCCTGAAGGCCACCAGGAGTGGTTTCAGTGACAACTAACCAAACAGTGGGAAGCCGAATCTGGTGAACAGCATCGTGCTAGGACTCCATGGCTAACCCGGTAGTCCTTGTCGCGAGCCACCACCACGAGGCTCTGTGTCACATCGTGTGGGGAGCACAGACATCAACTCACCAATTATGAGCTATAGAGCCTCCGTCTCCCACATTGCAAAATGTAACAGTCCTGTTCCCACATGGGTCCTGAGGAGGACTGCTCGCCCTTTTGCTGCTGGAGGCAGTGCCCAGGCCACATCTCACCAGTATCCGTCAAGCACCAGGATGGTCCCCTGCTCTCCTAACTCCACAAGCTTTCTCTCTTATCCATTGTTCCTGGCACGCCCCTCTGGATCTGCCTTGGGCAGCACTAGGCAGCTCTGTTCTCTGCTCAAGGCCAGGGAAGGAAGGGAGGGGACCAGACGGGCTGTGCACAACCCTGATGGCAGCCTGGGCCTCCCAATTGCCCGCCAGCCTGACAGTGCCCATGAACAGCCCCTGGTTTTCTCATTTCAGATGGCAGAGCAGCTGATGACCTTGGCCTACGACAATGGCATCAACCTCTTCGATACGGCGGAGGTCTACGCTGCGGGCAAGTAAGTGCCTTTTTTCTTGTAAGAAGCAGTTCAAGGGGCTCAGTCACCCTCGGGCCAGTGCCTTCTTGGGGTTCCTGTGCCCCATGCAGACTCACAAATGTGCCTCCCCCTCTGCTTCTCATTGAAGCTCTAAAGTGGCTCCGGGAAGATGTCATTTCCTCAAGGACTCTTCGATACTGCTCACTGGCTGAGCTCGCTGTATCCATGCACTGAGGTGACTGTGGTCCCTTTGCTGCCAACAGTGTTGTACAGGACCAGGGCATGATGGAGCTGTCTCTGGGCTCCCCCGGCGCACAGTGACCTCTGGCCAGCCCCACAGGCCTGTCATGCTCACATCTTAATGAGGCCATTAATGAGCTGCTCAGAGCAGGGGCTGTGTCTCCCCCCGCCCCTACCCACCCAGGGCTGTGGGAAGCACCTCCCGGCTTGGCATCGGCCTTCATGCACAATTATATAAAGCCTCAGCCCTCTTCTCCAGCCAGGCCCGCTGGCTTCAATTTTCAAGACTGCCGGTAATCACATCATCCACTCTCCTGCCTCGGGCTTCCAAAAGTCAGCTTTTGTTTGTGAAATCATTTTTGGCTCTCTGCTCTCTCTCCCTTGGGCCCCCTCTGGCCTGGGCTGAGCCACATTCCCAGCAGCTGGGCTGGCTGCTGCCCTGGACTTCAGCGCCATGGCCTGCAGGCCAGCACCTGCCCAGCCTACAGAACCCCTGAGACAAGGCATCAGAGACCCCCATGCACGGGCTCCCAAATCCCCAGCAGCCCCCTGCCTCTCCTGGCACCCCTTCAGAGTAGACTGCTTGCCACACAGACACATGGGCAAAGCTGAAGGGTCACAAGGCTGACAGCGAGTGCAGAGACCACCCAGAGGTTGCCCTCAGGCTGAGCACTCCAGCCTCTTTCTGTTCCACCTTGGTTCTCCTGCCCACCAGCACATAAGGGGACAGCGATAGCTCCACATAGCCCGCTTCTCCAATTCCAGACAGCCAAGCCACCTGCCTCAGCAGCTGCATTCAGTTCTCCCAGCTTCCTGATGAAGTGATTACACAGGGCTCTGGATACCCTAGTAGTTTCTCAGGAAGCCAAGGACATGGGGAGCAGCTTCCCAGCATTGCTGCCTTCATCCTGGCCTCCAGCACTGCACCTCCCAGTTCGCCCCCATCAGTACCAGCAGCTGCCCTGGCCGGAAGCTGGTGACACCATCGGGGGAATCGTCAAGAGAAGCTGCTCGGGCTGGGCTGGAACTACAAACAGCTGTCCCTCTCTCAAGCCAGGGCAGCCGTCGCTGTGTTCCTGGGGCCCTGCTTCTCCTCCTCTGACTCTAAATTTAGGGCGTTTCTCAAAAGCCACTTGATTTGCATGTCCAGCTATGCAAATCCACAGACATGAGCAGCAGGACTTGGCCCACTCCAAGTCAGTGGAGCTCCAAGGTTCTTCCCTTCCTCCGTTCCACTTCCTTTGTCCACATATCAGACAGAGGAGCAAAACGGAGAGGCTGGGGCTGACTTTCATCTACCTCCCCGGTCCATTAGGAACATGCAGAAACAGCTTGCAAATGAGAGCCCATTATTTTCGAGCGGATGACTCAGACGCTGTTATCTTCTGAGCGCGGTCTGGGTATGGATCATTCTCCGTCTGGTGTTTTTGCTCAGAAACATTTTGCTAAAAGCAGAAAAGTTTTTTTTGGTGGTTTTTTTTTTAAGGAAAAAAAATAAAAACACGATCCCATCTCTGCAGAGCTAGACGAGGCTGGAGCAGAGTACCTCTGTCCCCTGCTGGCTCCAGTTTGCCTGGGGGCCCAAGAGCAGCACGGAGCAGAGCAAACAGTGGTTGGTGTGGCATCTGTCTGCCTATTGCTGAAATGCAAGACACAAGTGGTGCACACATGCCTGTATACACCGGGAAACAGCACACACATGCACACTGCACACGCAGTACACACACATTCTGCTGGAAATTCACACCCTGAATTAGTATTTTGAAATATTTTTTCCTTTTATATTGGTTTGCATACAATAATTCACATACATTGTGTTTCATTTGTGTACATTATATTTTCACATAATCTTTCAGTCCCATTATGTTTTCACACAATCATTCATAAACTTATGTTTTATGAAATGTTACTATTAATTTATGCCTATTTTTACCCTATCTTTTGAAGTCCCTGTTGAATCTTTTCTATTCTTTCTCCCCCTCATCTATCCACTAAACTCTGTTATCACAGTGCTTTCTTCCCCTCCCCATTTCCAATCCCTTCCCCTTTTGGACTTTTATACACATCTAACTAGTTATCCGTCTGTTTTTACAGTAACAGTCTTGTGCCATATTTGTCCTTTTGAGACTGAGTTAGTTCACTCAGCATAATGCTCTCTAGCCTCTCCCATGTTACAGGGTAGTTTACAAAATCATTACTCCTTAGTGCTGCATAATATTCACTTGTGTGAGTGTACCACAATTTCTCAATCCTTTCATTCGTTGATGGGCATTTGAGATGCTTCCACTTTCTTGCTGTTGTGATTAACACCGCTGTGAACATAGGTGTACATGCTGAAAAGCTATTGTTCATTTCTGAAAACAGAGAGTGCCACTTGATGAATAATTTACCTTTTAAAAAATATAAAGATACCATTTGACCCAGCAGTTCCACTACTGGGAATATACCCTAAAGAGACCATAAATGACATCCAAGTAGATATATGTATACCCATGTTTATCGCGGCTTTGTTTACAATAG